GAGGCCCCACGGTCCCCATGGCAGCGGCGTAGAAAAGAATGCTTCGTCTCTCGACTTTGAGGGGCCTGTGGACCATCCCTCGCATTGCTAATCGGAAGACGGAAGACTGTGGTTCCTCCCGCAATTGTACGGACTGCAATAAGGATGAACAGATCCAACTGACCCTCAACTCTCATCCCAGGCCGAAACAGCTAGTAGCTTGCCTGGCATCGTGTTGCCACCGCTATGCCCTGTAACTCCAAACCTCACCAGAGGTCCTGTTCCTTCACCTCTGCTTCCCTGCCACCACGTCGGGCCGTGGTGCCGTGCACAAGGACACAAGCCACGGCTGCGCGAAAGTCGAACGGCGGCCTTCAAAAGCATCAGCAGCAAACGACCACCTTGAAGCCAGGAGGCTGCTAGTGGTCGTACAGCTGTCTACTGCCCGTTCTGTGATCATGCTCACTCAGCCGAGGCCGGCTGCTGTTATTCTCGCTTGACGGTGTCTTCGTCGATTCTGAGGCCTTCCGCTGCGCAGAACGCAGCAGAGCACGTTACAGGTGACAGTTCCACACAATTGCGACCGCAAAGTAGACTTGTCGAACTCTTCCAGACTTCGGCCTGGGCATCTTCACCTGTGAGTGCGTCTCGCTGAGTCTCGCTCTCACGCTCACTGTCGCGACGAATCCGCGCTGCCTGCGGAGGCGGCCTTGCTTGCAAGGAAGGCCTTCCACATCAGCACCGCTTTCATGCTGCCACACTATGGCTGCTCATGGCCGCCTCAAGGTCCTGGGCGTTGACCGGACAAGCAGCCGAGGGCCTGCAGTTCAGCACAGCACCGGTCTTCCTACAGGACCGAACCAGCGTCAAGCGAAAGCAAGCAGCCAAGGTCACCTCGGTGGTGGGGGTGTGCTCAGGGAGCTCTTGGCCTCAACTTTGCACTGAAGCTTTTCTTGATTTTCGGCACTGGGGGGCGAAATCTACCTCACGCGCGTCCGACTGATTACGAATGCCACTGTCCCAGGCCTTGCAGACCTTGTCTGACACACTGAGGCCTCACCGTTCCAGTGTTTGCCGGCTACAACCGACAAAACATGGTTTGGATGGCATACCTTCGCAACCGGAGCATTCACGAGCACAGCAAACCCCCGCAGCCTGCCGGGTCCGGCAGTGGGCTGACTTGGGCTCCTAAACCTTGCAGGGCTCTGACAGAAGGATGACTGGGCCCTGTTTGGCACATACAGTCGGCGCCCCACCTTGCTGCCCAGGTTCGGGTAGTTCTGAGCCCATCGAAGCTGCAGTGTGACCTGAAGGCATCGGACTATTCACACAAAGCCTGAGCGACAGCCGGTTGTGACCTAGTGGATGTGGCACAGGAACTCCTGGCCACACGTTCTGCTGCCCTGCAGCTCTAAAAAGGGCAGTGAGCTTGCAGACTGCTTGGCCTTGAGGAGGTTGAACTTTCTGCAGCATGTGATGGCCATCCACGAGAAGGCCTGAACAAAGTCAAGAGAAAACCTTTGCAGCAGCACGAGATGCCGAAGCCTGGGTGCAAACTCGGTAGAGCACAGCCTTCGCAGTGGGCATGTTGTATGTGAGATGGCACGAATGTCCCTATGTTCCTGGTCAGTGTGTCCTGGGCTACAGCAGACCACTGAGCCGAGTCTAGAAGATGCTTGTTGTCAAGCTTGCCGGACTCTAAGTTCTAGGCTCTGACTCCCATTCTGTAGACCTTCATGCCCCGGGCCTGGTGGCCACGGCTCTGGGCCACGTGGCAGGTGGCCTTCGCCCCGCGAGAAAAATGAACATGTGCAGGTCTAGGGCATGGCGCCGATTCCTTACACCTTCACCCTAAAATGCTCACGGCATTTCTGAAATGGCTCGGCCGGTCTCGACTTTCCATCACTTCGCACAGCGCACGGAACAATGCACTTCACAGGGCCTAAAGTCTAGAGCTCGGGACTGACGGACTCTGAAAAAAACATCGCGTGGGCATGGAGGGGTCCGATGGACGGTATCAGCTCTATTTTCGAGTACTCTTAGAACTCCAGTTGCCCCACCATCCACGATTTAACCTGCTGCTTTTCGTAGAGCGTGGTATTGAAAGTGTCCGGGATCATGCCTCATGATGGTTTCAGAGCCTTGGCTTTAGGAACCTTTGGACACGAAGAGGTCGCACCGCTATTTTAGGCGTTCCTTCTGGGAGGTGCTGCGAGACAGAGTGGGAAGGAGGGAGAGACAGACCGGGCAATGACGAAACCAAACCGACTGACAGAAAGAAGGACAAACGGACAGACAGACAGACAGGGGTACGAATACAACTCCTTGTGAAGCTTATCACATGCTGACTGCTTCCTGCTGCCTGGTCGTGGCATCCGCGGCCACTGAAGGGCGACATCTTGTGTTGCAGAACCTCTGCAGAAGGAGCAGTCGTCAAGCAGCATGTCACAGCTTGAGCTATTCAGAGTCTTGTGCCTGGATGCATTCTCGGACAGGCTGGCTGAATGTGCGGCACGGCAGGGCCTTGACAAAAGACATGTCGCAAATAATGGCTGGGAATCTGAGAGGCTGAGCCTTGCAGGTGCATTCGCGGCCAAGGCTGATTAGCTGGTACGAAGCCTTCCGCGCCGCGACTAGGTTTCTTGTCTCGCCAGCCACAGCAAAATAGTCAGCGACCCTGGCCTGTGAGCCCGTTGAAATGCCCTCGCGGCTGTTGTGCAAAAGCTCCAGCATGCTGGAGCACCCTGAGGCATGCTAACAGTTGCTGCTAGTTTGGCGGCCGCAACTGAACGCATGAGATCGATGTAGGGCCACAGCGGCAGCGAGTAAGTGCTTCCTGTTGTTGCACTAACGGCATGCAGAATTGACAAGAGACGCAAAGTACGGCCTGGCTGCGGGGTAGTGCCATAGAAACGAGCAGCTGGTCCGGCGTCCTTCAACCCACTGACTAAACATAGCGCAAGTGTCATCAGAGAAGTCAGCAGAATCGCTTTAGTTTCTGCCATGCCGATGCTTCAGCGACATAGCCTCTGGGATAGACGACGGAGCGCAGAATGCACGTGCAGACTCGGTAGAGCATAGGCACTGTAGGAGAGGCCCTACCAGTCTTTTTACACATGGAAGTACCGACCTATCAGAACGAAGGCTTGACTTGCATGGGCTGAACCAGTTCAGACCTGACTTCCTTGGACACCACGGATTGATCATGGACTGCCACTTCCTTACACCCTGCTCTCGCAGCAAACCTGGCCTTCGGCTCGTGCCGTCGCTGTCCGGCATCAGGAATTTTGTTTGCTGCGTGGCCGTAGTTTGGGCGCACTACAGCTGGAGGAGGGTCTGGGGTGGAGGCCGGTGGGCCCAAGGCGGAGGTAAAAGCAGGGCAATTGCTGCAAGGATCGGGTGGCACTCCGTGCTTCCCCAATGCAGCTGCCAAACCTTGCAGGGCGACGCCGTATGTCAGTCGTGCACCAACTCACCCAGGATTGGCCTGGCCCGCCTTTCCTCATAATGTCCTGGCACGCCCGCGGCGTGCAGTCACGCGCCTTCTCAATGTTTGACATACACGCCCAGTCCTCCGAGCGCATTATCCTTGGATGACCGAGACCGGGAGCTGCAGCAATGCTGGACTCTGATTGCTCACATCCTACGATTCCTTCCTGTTCGGACTGATGCACATCGAAGCGCAGTCTGGAAAACTGCAGACTTGCTTGCGTGCATTTGCCTGCCATCCGTGCAACCAGGCTGCTGCTCCATGGCTGCTTCGGCAGACATGGCGAGAATCCTACCGAAAAAATGGTTCGACGTCGGCCCCAAGCGAGCCAGTGACCCTGCGCTCACATTAGAAGCAGGGGGTATGCATGGGCCTCGCATTGCTGTGTGTGATTTGAGGAAACTTGATGAAATACTCAGAAGAGGAATTGGGCGAAGTGGCTTTGTGCCATCATTGACAGAGCGGCAGGGCAGAGCTGATCGCTTATGCACACGCAGCACGCGCTGCAGATGACTCGACGAAAACTCGAAAGCAAGCAGAGCATCACTTTTCCGTCCGAAAATGTCCACCTTCAGCTTTCACCTGCGGTTCGGGAAGCTCAACCCTCCTTGATACACGTGTCACACCAAAACAAGGGCCTACTGAAGAGCCGTCTTCTTCAAATCCCAGCCGTGCATCGTTCCACAGGCAAATCCACCCACCCAACCTTTTCGCTCGCACGTTTCTTGGCAATGCAAAACTTGCTCGATACTGTACTCATTCAACCAATCAGTCCGCATCATCGCTCGCACTCCTTGCCCGATGTACTTTCACCTGGACCTGGTCCTCCCTCCTCACTCCGGCTTCTTTCTCATGCCCTGCTGAATCTATCAGTTTGTGGATCCATCAGCATCGGCTGTGGTCTACGGCAGTCTACGACCTGGAACTACAGTGGCTGCTCGAGCCTCACATGAGACTCCAGGCTAAAATGAATACCTGGAAGACTTGGAGTTGCTGAACAACGTTGGCAAATTAGACGGGCATTCGTGAGCAATCTCACCTTCACGCCCTCACAAGTCTGTCAAGGTTTCGTAATTGTTGTCGTTTGCAACGGGCAGGCTGATATAGACCAATCGTCCAGACTTGCCAGTAGATTCTCCAAATTCAGTGATGTCGCAGCCAGCACCATCGGTACTCCAAGCCTCTGAAAGTTCTCAGGTCCTGGCTCTGATCGCTATTGGCCCCGATCAGCTCCTCGCTCTCGGCCTAGTGCCAGAGCTTCACTGGCTTTCGGCATGTTATTGCAGTACGGGACGTGAAACAAAGCATCACTCGCAAAGACGTCTTGGACCGTCGCGCCCTTCTTGAGATGATACAGTGGCCTCCAGACATCAACCACACAGATGCATTGTGTGCACAATGTCATGTACAGTACCACCCTCCTCTCCAAGCCAAGCGGCCTTGCTTGCCGCCTTGCTTCCCGTGGATTTCTCGATGTCCACGCCTGGCTCAGAGCGAGTTTCGGCCCTTGGAGCACTGAAGTCGGACATTGCTAGCACAGTTCCGCTCGGCGCAGCGTCGTTTGTTGCATGGTCTGCTGGCCGAGCCAACCCAGACATCTCAGGCCATGCACGCCCCATGCTGCTTCGGCGCCGGACGGCAGTGAACCGCTGCTGCCACTAGAGAGAAACCTTGTCTTGTCGTTACAGCGTTTGCCGTTTATGTGCTTGGCTTCTCGGATACATGGGGGGCTAGACGCCATTTGGAGAACTTCGGAGATGTTGAGGTGAAAGCCTCCAAGTTTTCCAGTCCGACCCATTGAAAGTCGGTGGGGATGCTTGCTGCTGTTGCTGCAATGTTGACGGGCAACACCCATTTTGAAAGCGGAATTGTAAACAGAATCACAGCACACATCTGACAATCCAAAGTCCCAGATGATGCCTTGTGCCTCTGGAAGTTTACCAGTCTCTACAATGTCATCCACGGCCCTGGCACAGCAAGCAGGGTTGCAGAATGGCATCTCCACTTGCCGTTCCTGACTTGTTTTCCATGCCTTCTGACAATCTCAATCTGCTCCTGCGTGACAACCTGTCGGTAGAGGCTTGGGTGAAGTGTAAACCATCCTGCAGCCCTGTTCAGGACTGCTTCTGGTCGCAAACCTCCTCCCCCCGTGGTTTCACGATGATGTGAAGAGGCTCCTGCACATAAGGCTTAGGATGCGCGACGGACTGACGAGACACTTCGTGCCCCGGCAAAATTTTCCGTGTCTCCTCTGCCGCACCTGGGCATCTCGAGGGATTGCAAGACAAGTAGAACATGAACAGCCCCAACTTAACCGAATGAAACCCCCGCCCTGCCGGGGGGCCTCCCGGGGCACCAGCACCTCGGAGCTGCAGCCGACAGCCGGCCTTTCCAAGACGCCACAAAGCTTTCTGTTCCAATGGCGAGATGTGTCGAGACTGCAACATTGCAGTTTGCTCCACAGCTTGAGATTTGGGGGATGCTATGTAACTTTGAAGCTGCGTTGTTTGCTGGCTTGATCTTTCGGCACCTGATGCCTTACACACACCGCGGACATCGTTTCATCTCGGACAACATAGTATGCCTGACGCCTGAATCCTCTGTCAGTTCCAAGTATACGCCGACCCTATGCATTTTCGTTTGAGAGCAACTCTCTACTGCGCGCTCTCCCAAGCAGAAGACCCCGTGCCTTCTTCATGATGGTTCGAACATTTGACCTGCCCGCGACAGCTGTGTGCGCCAGAGTTGAAACACTCCCGCAACGTAAAGACTTTTTGTCGAAGCGCTTGTGAGCTATTTACTAGACCATCCCTGATCGTGCCGGAAAATGCTCATGAATGTCCTGGCACCCTGCCAGTTTCGGCAGCGCTGCAAAACACAAGCTGCGGCCGCTTGAGGGCCAAGCGCTCCAGGGCCGAGGATCGTCGTATAAGCCTTACACAGTCACAATCAGAGGCCTCAGATCACAGTTCTGGGCTCCATGCCATCATGACTTAATCCTCCGAGGTCACGGCAGCTCGTTGCTTCGCTTCAGGCCCGTCACCCTCAAACTTCATGAAGGGGATGGCAACCTGCAAGCTTCTGCAAAATCCCCTGATAACGCTAGAGCCCGCACGAGTAAAACTGCCAGTGCCGCAGTCTATGGCTCTAGTCGGTCAAGCCGGCTGCTATGCCCAGAAGCCAGAGCGAGCGTCTGCAATCCTCTGATAATGCAGGAGTCCGCACGTGTTGTTGAGCATCCCAGATGTGGTTCGGATACGGAGGCGAGCAGGCGGACGGCGAGGTTCAAACTCCCAACAAACTGGACAAAGATGTTCCCGTAGGGGGGCGGGTTGCTAACATTTCCCAAGCGGCTTGCCACCAGTGGTTGCTATAGGGGTTCTTGTCAAATCTCTGTTGTTAATAATACCAAGGAGTGCCTCCGTTTCGCAGCGTGGGTGGGCCAATTCCCGAAGCACAGTTGCAGGAGTTAACGTCACTACCAGCACAATACCACAGAGACTTGTGGAGGTGCCGGGCCTTCACTACCACGTCCCTGGGATCGATGGGTTTTGGCTCCGGCCTTGGCTGCGCTCGCGCCATGTCCAGCCTATGCATGTGTTTGCCGATGGGGCAACCTTTCCCCTGAAAATCGCGACCCACGGCCTTTAGCTACACAGGGGCTGCAAACCCCCGAGGCGGACAAGTGCGACATGATGAGGCCCAAGTGATCCCACTTCTCTTCGTTGTCTCGTGGATGTCGGATTTCTGACTGCGAATGCCTCGCCACAATCTGCATCTGCAAAGCGGCCGCTACACCTCTGGCTGACCGCTGTTCAAACGCGGCGGGTCGGCGCATAGGGACAGTCGTCGGGTCGAGGACAAGGTAAGCCCTTGAATACCTCGCAGAAGCAAGTATTTGTTGGGCGAATCCCATACACAAATCACACATCGAAGACGTACCCTGCTGAATGCAAGCGCGTCCGATGTGCCTCATAGCAGGGTCGTGTCTTGTACCTCTCGGGTGCCCGATGGAACTCATCCACCTAGGCAGTTGGAAGAGTTCATGCTCCACTGCGACACGAAGACACGGAACTTGCGCAGCAGCATGTACTTGTGCGACTCGCAGCACACCGCTAGCAAGAGCACGCGGGATTCTTCGTTGCCTTTCGGTTTTTGTGACTGGCCAACTTGACCACGTCTGCGGGCAAACGCCAGCCTGCAGATGCCTGCAGCCCCTAAGAACTTGCTGCAGGGGTGGAGGAGATGAAATGACGTCCCGACAAATTGTTTCTCCACTCATGGATACAGTATGTATCTGGACACCCGGCGAGCGAAGAAATGGATGGTTCATGGTGAGAACATTGGGTGTGATTGCGCAAAGCCAATAGGCGGCCCAGCCTGTTTCCTTCTTGAGCCGTTGGCAGTGGAGTAACCCGAGAAAGCCAAACGCCACGTACATCTCAAGCCCAAACGACCACTCGTGTTGTTCTTGGTTCTGCGACATCCGTAGGATGGAAGCCCCTTCACCGCAGGCTTTACCGCAAAGACAGACAACGAACCCCCCGGAAACAGCTGCGCTGCAACACATGTCGCAGCATTCGACGGCAGAAGTGTGCCTCTGGAGTGGTTGGAGCATTCTCCCCCCATCGCAGACGAAGCTTTCGCCCTCGGCATCTGCTAGCGGCACGGGTCAAGCAGCGACGCTGCGAGATGCAAGGGTCCACTAGGATCCCCACCTTTGATTTCAATGCCGTCGACTTTCTTGATGCCCTGTGAGCCACGGCCAGGATGCTGACCACGAGGAAACGTACGTTGTAAGGCTTAAGTCATCGTTCGCTCAACAAGGTGTCACAAGCGTCTCCTCCAGCGCACCCTCGGGCGTCTTGAACTCCGCGAAGCCGAAGCCTCGAGACACACCTTCAGGGTATCGCAAACACTTCCGCTGCGGTCGTCGCGGCAACATCCTCCGATTCCTCACCCCCGAATAGTACTGAAATCGCCTCGACCAGTACCCTCAGTTTCGCGGGGCCTAGTAATAGTATTCATTGCCATTCACGGCCTACTTTCATTAAGCAGCTTTCAAGGCAAGACCTTGACTAAGAGCAGCTTCCTAGATGCCTTCACAGCTCTAGGACCTTGGGTTGCATTGGCTGGCACAGGTTGAAACTCCCACACATGCTGAGGTCCGGGCCATCTTTTTGTATGGACAGCCTCCACGACACCAAGCCCTCGATGTCACCTGCAGCAAAAAAAAATGCATCTTCTCAAACACGACTCCAAGCGCGATTCTCAGAGCAGAGGCGTGTACCGAAGAGCTCGCGAATTTCTTCCTCGGTCGTGTCCTGAGAGACTCAGCCAAGGCGAGCTTGCGCTCCGTCTCACTGAGGCTCGTGCGAAGGAGATGTTGCCCACAAACACAGGCCACACCTGGCACAACAAGAAACACGCTCCCAACTGCCTGCGGCTGCACGCCGACTGCCGAATGCAAAGTTCAATCCAACACCCTGGGTTTCTCACGTCCTTCCGACGTGGCTCAATTTTTCTTTTCTTTTCTGCCTCACCTCCAAAACCAAGCAAGTTGCTGGATGAACGGAGCTGGTCTAAGCTTAGTTCTCGGATTCTGGCCGGTCTGGCCGGGTGCTGGTGGCCTGGAAAGCTCGTGGCATCTTGGGAGAAAACCGTTGCAGCGGTGCAATGGCGCCTGACATTGAGCAAGACGAAGCCCGGCGGCAGCGAACCCGGAGTAGAGCCAGGTGGCATCATGAGGCCGGGAAAGACTCCAGGTGCGCCTGGCGCGCCTGGAGCACCTGCACCGGGTGCACATGGGCCACCCGGCGCTCCGGGCACCTTGCAGAAATCATGGATCCATAGAGAGTAAGTGCAACGAAAAATGCATCCGAGAACTTGGAGCTATTCGCTCCTTCCCCTTCCCCCTCGCCCATCCTCGCCCGACAGCTTCTTGAGGATCCGAAGGCGTAGAAAAATTCGCATCTCAAAGCCTAAACAGAAAATCGAAGAATCGAACCCTCAAATCAGACCCTTAAATCTACGCAGTGCCGAGTGTATCAATACTCACTACAGCCCAACCATTATGCCGCATGCCCTCTCACCTTAAACCCTAAAAGCGATTTAGGACATGTCCCACATTCAAGAAAACTCTCACTTTGGTGGAACTTCTGAAGTCCTGAAACCTGTGTACCTAGGTTTTCCGGTTCAGGCTTGGGGTGCACCAAATTAGTGAAAGGCCGGAGGGGCGGGCGATTGTACTTCCTGAAAGACACACCCTGCACTCTCGAGGGGGTAGTCTGTGTGTCGTTGCGCTTGCTCTTCTGTCTCGAAAATGCTGCTCCAAGGTGATACCTTCCGAACATCAGTCTTTGTACACTGCACTTCCAAGGGGAAACTCCCATCGTCTATTGGCATGTTTACATCGCTGAGGATCCCATCCTCCAAAAATGGTGCAGCAGCTCCGACGGGTCGAGGGAGCTGTGAGTTCTTTTCCCTCTCGCATGGCTGAGAACAATGCTCACAGGCGAGGTCTGCTATGGGGCGAAATGCGGCAAGCAAATGATGCTATGGGGTGCGTGGGGATGGCAGCCCACAACCCAGCATCAGGTACACAGTGCAGAGAACTTCACAGAAAAATCCTCCCAGCGATTTCGAAGCTACGTGTATCAGCCAGGATACCGGTAAGAAGCCAGGCATCGGGGGACAGCCACCACAGCTGCCTGCGAGCCAAGCTGTACAATGCAGAACTGACATATGAATCAGGACGGGAGAACAACTAACTTCGGAAAACCGATGCCGTTCGCAGACGCGTGCCCTGCCTGGCATCATCATTAACGGAAGTCCTCCAGGCAACCCTCCTGGCAAGCCACCTGGAGGTCCTGGACCTGGACCGGGGGCACGCAAATTCAACAGAAGTGTCTCAACCAAGAGCCAGCTACAGTAGCAACCACCATCCCCTGCTTAAGCGAACCTCCTCCCAGACGTTTGTTCTTATGATAAAATAAAACGAAATGGAATGCGCTTTGGTTTTTACATACACGACAAAGGCTGCTGATCACAAGGAATATGAAAACAAGCATTGTGCAAATCTGACCAACATGTTGGTTCGACATCTGACATCAAACTTAGTATATATTGTGGAGCTCTCTGCAAATCCGGAGTTTTCAGCCCGGCACGTCGGACCTTTGGTTGTGGGCAGTGGAAAAACACAATAAATCAAACCACACCTCGGGTTCTCGTTCACATTTAACCTCAAACTGGATCCTGTGATCCAGATGCTGATTCGTATTTGACTAATTGTTCTGGAATCCCGGCTACGCAACGGCGGAGGAGCTACTATACTAGACTACTTGTTGATGTCGGCGTCAGTAAGTTTCAATGCAAGGTGTCACCGGTTTTCATTCCACTCCGAAAAGGCTTCTGCTATTCGCTCGAAGATCAAAGCCAGGGCCCCATGTTTCGCACAAAAGCTAAGTCAAGGCTCAACGGCCGTCTGAGGGTGAGCCAATGGCAGCCAGAAAGATTCACACTGCCCAGCTTGCCTCCAGGAGGCGGCGGTAAGCCTGGCACCTGAGAGGCTGACGCGCACATCTCCGCAGAGTCGCAACATGTGATCCCATGCCGAATCTCACAAGCCCTGCAGACGAAGTGCTCCGGGCGGAGGGAGTGGCCTTAGTTGCGTGGGCCTGCCTGCTGAGTTGGAAATCACATCACTCGCGACTTGCGAAGGGTCCGGGCGGCGCAGCATCCATGACCTGAGGACGGCTTTATTCAGCCAATGCCTTACAAGCCGAAGTGTGGCCGAGGTCCAGACGCTGGCTGCGAGGCTGCGAGCGTTGTCTTTACTTGTTTGGAGACTTTGTCTATGATTGTCCATGTATTGCTATGCCATCTTGGCTTTTGGGTGGTCTGCGGAGCAGATCTCTAAGACGCTACAATTGGTAGGCCACTGAGGCCGGAGCCTGGCTCACTTGACTCATAGTTACTCGTTGTCGGCTTCAGCAAACCCGTCAGCTGACATATGGCTCTTGTGGTAGGCCAGTTTGTGTGCGTGCGCTCTGTGACAATATCTCTACGTGCCCCAGCTGCCTTCTCAGTCACGTCAGTCGCATGTGGGGCGCTTCAGCCGCATCTACATTTCAATGTGAGTTCAATTTTTGTGGGGGATTGGCACTCTGAATCTTGAATCTAGCAGCAAGCTGCACAGCATCCCAGCAGCACTGAGGTACCTTCTCACTCCATTTTGCAGCTGAACATGGGCGTAGACAAGGGACATGCACTTCAAGGCAGCGCACGGCCTGCGAGGACGGGAATGGAAATGACGCCAGTCCTTATCTTAGACCTTTTCTTGTCAAGTGGGCTGGGCGTCGCAGCCCAATCACTGCCGTCTGTGCACTTGTCGTCTCAATCTAGCTTTCCTTGTGATATCTCAAACCTTTCGCCACAGGCTTGTTGAAGCTCGCCCAGCCAGTTCCCCATTTTCTACGACTCAACCTGAGACTCAACCAGTGAACATTCAGGCAAGCACAGAGACAGCATTGAAACAGTTCATGTCCAAGACCGAGCCAACGTTGCACAGCAATGTTGGGTGGCACTTCAGACTCAGACCGTGCTCATTGCTGCAGACGTCCTTTTAGGAGCCTTTTCACGGTGTCTTCCCCTTCTCGGCCTGGAGTGACTTCGCGCGCGAAGCAGAGCTCTGTCATGACTACACGACGAGACATGAGAACAAAACTGGGCCTTCTGGGCGACCCAAGCTGGAATAAGCTTCCTTTGCATGTCAGCATCCATCGCGGCCTGATGTTCATCTTGAAGCATGTCTGTGGAAGATGACAAGACGGAGTCGAACCGAAACGAACCTCAGGCTCCTGCCAATTCCTCCTTGGAGAAAACGAATAAGTGCTCCTGGCACCAACAGAGCAAAGCCCGCTGAGCTTGCCTAACTTGCCTGGGCCAGTGCCTAAGCCTTACTGGAAAAAGCAAGTGTCCGGAAGGGGCTTTGAGCTGCTGATGCGCCTGGCCATGCAACACCCCCAGGTCCGTGCATCCAGCCAGCGAATCAAGAGCGGAGCACGTGTTGGGGTCTCTCAGGTCATCGAATAGAGCCTCGCTGGCATGTACAGGGGACCATGGTAACTGAAGGGAAGAAGTGCTAGGGGCACCACGTGCATGCAACACTGCAGTCCAGAAGGTCGCAGCTTTGGATCGTACACAAGTAGTTTCGAAATGTAGTCCACAGCCTGTGAGGATGTCAGGTTGCAGGCCCCTCACATGACAATGACATAGCGCATCATCGAAGATCCCTAGAAGTGGGGAGCCTCCTGAGAGGTGCGCGATCTGAAAACTTTGTGCCAAGGGTGTGGCTTGATCTGTGGGAACTTAAACCTTGCAGAAAGATGCAAATTCGACTGCAGTAGCGATGGCAGACCCTATGAAGGCGCTGGCTCTGTGTAGTTCGGGTTCATCGCCATGAGTTCCTCCCTAGTTGGCGTGCCCAAAACTTTGATGATCTCCACCTGACACGATGTGCAAACGAGAAAACGAGAGCGTGCGATTCTACAATGAGCCAAGGCAGGTGTAAAGATCAGGCAGCGGCCAGCTGATCAACACCACTCTCGCCAGGAAACATGGGATGCCCGAGAATGAGCTCCGCCGAAACACATGCGGCTGACCAAATGTCGATCACCTGCGCGCTGCACATCACCAGCTGACTGCCCCAACATCTACTGCTTGGTCTCCTCATCATCAATGAAGCAATGACTCAGGGTTGGGCAAAGCCGTAGTCAGTGGCCCCGAAAATGAGCTCTGGAGCACGGTAGTATCTGGAACCTTGGCTCAGGCAAAACATTTATCGACAGAAAGTGCTCTGGAATGCTGGTCGTAGCCCAGATGTGGCCTAGCAATTGCTGAAGAGCATGGGTGCTCAAGCGCCGGGCAAATGTAAGCCACATTCGGCTCCCCTCTGACCAGCGGCTTCGCAGATCCGAAATCGCACAACCTGTCATGGTGCACTCCACTGGAACAAACACCTGCTTTCGCTCGGCACAACATGCCAGTACTGCTTTAGGGCATGCGTATGCCCATCGACCAGCAAGTTCTGGGGCTTGATGTCTCGGTGGCAAATCCTGGTCATGAACACTAGCAGTAACTAGCACCAGCATCTTCATCTTGAGTGGCAGCCCACGCTTCTTCATAGCAACATGGAGAAAGGGAGCTTTAAGAACAGGTACCAGTAACTCCGTGTCATGTTGGCAGAGGCCGGTTCCCCCTTGGATGTTCACGATATATTCCGAACGACTGGATCGGACGATCTCATGCGTTGTCTGAGACTTCAGACCCCCAAGTCGTAAAGCAGGAGACAGAGAAACGAGCTCTCAGGGCTCCCCACCCAACAGCGTGGATGTAGGCGCAGGCCCGGCCCATCTGAGCGAGAGAACAACAACCTCTTGAAACAGCCAAAGGCTCTCTTCGAACGGTTCCGCTCCAGGTTCTTCGTCGTGCCTGGTAGCTGTACAGCTGGACGAAGATGTGCGGGACCGGCTGCTTCATCTTGCTGTAATGCTTCATGACACGGTAGACCGTGTCCTCGTGCTACGAAGTGTTGGAAACTGGCAAAATCGGCAATACTGATCAGAATAAGGGCTGCGCAGAGCAGTACTCCATCACAACCTCGGGTAAATGACTACTCAACGTGACCGAGGCTGACCCTTCTCAGCTCTGAGCGGCAAGCATTAAGGTATGTCTCGCCAGGCTTTTCGCCAGAAGTGTAGAAGGCATGCTTCAGCCTGAGCACATGCAAAAAAAACAGTGTGAGAACACAGCTGAGCCAAGTTCATGCAATGGATAGGTGCAACAGTTGCAGCATAATTATCCGGGGGCAGTACTCCACTACGTTCGGGTGCTTCAACTCCTGCGACATATGCTGCCAACTCCCAAAGGATCTGGCTATGTCTGCAAGCATGATCCGGAACACGTCGTGACGCTGCCAGATGGCAGTGATTGGCTTCTTCACACATGCGAACTGCTAACCAGCTTTTCACAACTTCATACATGCAGGTTAGCTTGAACATGGGTGTACAAAGAGTACTGACGAACGTCGTTTGCTCAAACTAGTCGATTGAAACCGACTCTTGATGCGGGCATACCATGTCCTTCATGATTTGTAGCTCTCGGTTCTTGTATCGCTTGTCCTGACAAGCGAGGTACATCAGCACCACCTGTACGAGAGCAAAACGAGACGCCTGGAAAACCTTCTTGATGGCGACAGACTCACCTGTCTCAACCACCTGAAGCGAGACGTTCGATGATGTGATGCTGGTGCTGTCTGGGCACCTGGGCAGCCCACCTGGGCTTGGTACACGACTCCGAAAGAACCGCTGCCAAGCACGCGCTCTGCGTTGTACGTAAACGACGCCTCACGTCAGATCAACACACAGCTGGACGAAGTGATTCTTGCAAGGTGCATGCCTTTTTGGAGGCATCATCGCCCTTGCCTGCATGACAAGCTTCGGGAGAAACAGCAGTAAGCATCGTCTGACCGGCCTTCCACTTTCATGTTCTGGAAGGAGTTTTGCAGAGCCCGCAAGTCGCTGGAAGCCTGCCAGCCCCACATTAGCAAAGTAGTTCTCGCTGCGTTCACGGCTTGAGGCGTCGACATCTTTTCCAGCCATGAGGGTACACCTGTGGCAGTTCAAGTGGCTTTTGCTGTCAGCAGCACATGCGAATCTACTGAAGCTGCTGACTCTGAGTTACAGACGAAGTTGAGCCCACAACACTCGAAACTCTATCTCCCCCGTGCTCAGAGATCTGCAAGAGATTCCCCCAAACACGAGACTGAACAGCAAACTGCTGCGTCAGAGTCAGGGATCAGTCAGTACAGTGTACGAACTCGTGAAGGATGTTGCCACATGTTGCCACGATCGGGCAAAATCTGATGCGCGAGTTTCACACGCTGCGGTCTTTCTGCAAGAAACGACAGTCGACATCAGAACAAACATGTGTGCCGAGAAGGTAACTTCCGGGTGAGCCGAGGCAAGCGGGCCCAGCACGCAGCTCCTCCGCTGGCAAAAACCATCAGAGCCGTCGGCAACCACCAGGTATCGCTTCAGCATGCCGTCGTTGAAGAAGATCACGTGGCATCTCCGAGCCTGATGCCAGCAAACATGAGCCTGAGTTCGGACGTTCACCTGGACTATGGACAGAACCTCTGGGCTCATACTCGGTGCATCTTCGCGCCACAATATCGATCAAGCACCGAGGTGCAGAGCTCGGGAACTGATCAAGTGCTCCACAGTGGCGCAAAGGTTCATGCATGGGCCTTGCATTATCTGGCATGGTGTGTTGCACGATGGCCCAACGACCTGCACGACCGAACTGCTTGCTCTGACATCGGATCCAACAAACAGAGAAATTCCAGCTTCCCATGTGCCTCGCATGCTGCAAATGTGGCTTCGTATGCAATGCATGTGGGATCCAACTCTTGCTCAGCCATTCCAGCAAGAATCTCTACTGATTCGAGCCACTGCTGCATCCTGGAGCACGATGTGATTGCAATTGAATAGCTTATGATGTCAGGTTGGCTTGAGTTTTCTCTCATGGAGTTTAGCAACCTCGTGGCCATTACAGCCTTGCCAGCCTCCATGAGCGAGCTTAACATGGCATTGAAGCAGACCAGATTAGGCTCCAGTCGCACGACTACCATTTCGTCCAGGAGCGCCTGGGCCTGAGTCCACGAAGCGGCCTTCTCACAGGCGCTGATTGCCGCACCGTAGCTTATCACGTTGGGTCTTTCCGAGCATGCCTGCATCATCCTCAGAACATGCAGTGCAAGCTGACCTTGACCACCTTTCTCGAAGGCAGAGATCACCGCATCGCATTCGGCTGTACATGCTTAGCCCGCATGCGCCACAGCAAATCCCAAGCCTCGACCCAAAGACCGCTCTTCTCACATGCACTGATCACCGCACTGTAGCTGACAACATCAGGTCTGGGCCAGGGCCAATCTGAGCCTTCACCCGCTCTCTCCATACTCTTTAGCAGCTCCATTGCCTGTTCCGCTCTGCCCCCTTTCTCCAAGCTCGTTAGAAAGGCATTGCAACAGTGCAGGTTGGGTCCCATCTGCTGTGAATCTTTGAACAAAACTAGTGCTGCTTGCCACTGCCCCTCAGGTGCACAAGCGCTCATTGCAGCACCGAAACTGACCTCCGTCAGTTGCATTGCCTCAGCCCTCATTAAATCCAGAACCGCGAATGCCCATTTGCCTTCGCCACTCGCTCGCCCACATGCGTGCAGCAATGCTGTGCAACACACGACATTCACCTGGGTGCTCATCTCTCGTGCGTTGCTCAAAAGTTGAGTGCAACGCCGCCACGCAGCTGTCACTTGACAAGCTAGAGCACCCGCTCCAAACGTGATGGCATTAAGTCGAAGCGACCGGTGCCAAGCATCCCCTATTAAGCCCAGCGCCACTTCCCAGGCCTGACTTTTGCCACACGCAGCTGCAAGCGCGTTGTGCGAGCTGGTGTGAGTCAGTTGTGTGAGCCGCATGCCCATCAATTCCATTAGAGCTCCCGCCCATCGACTTTGCTTGCCCAAGCTGGAAAGCCTTTTTGACAACCTTGCCTCCTCGCTTACATCGGCATTTTGGGAACTGACACGTCCAGCTGCTGCAGCTTCGATGGACAGCATTCCGGTTTGCCTTTCGGTGGAGACTGAAACCATTGCCACATAGCGACCTGCTGTGTGAGTGTCTATGCCAGTGCCCAAATCCTGCCATCAGCTATGAAACAGATAGGCGTGGAAACTGCCTGCTCTCGGCCGCGAACACTATCGCTTCTGCTTGCAAGTAACATTGTGACAAATGCCCCCTTGTCAGCACGCACCCTTTCTTTTAGCCTTTGGTGACAAAGCCGCCTCTCGACAAGTTTCTGTCGCGAGGGGCTGTCTGAGCTCTTTTTCGAGGTCATTAGATCACTTTGTGCTAGTGTCGTTCCTGGCAAGAAGTGCTGCAGGCTCAGACTAATACAACAATCTCGTAATCTCACCTGCACCTGTGGACTTGAAAACTCTACTGTAGTCGTGGCTAACAGTCTCCAAACTCCAGAAGAACTACATTTTTTTCGGATGTTAACCTATGCCATACATGCTTGTTCGGACTCAGTGTCCGCAAACCAGGTGGACCAGGCCACCAATGTGGGGATACCACAGTCACTCTTTGTGTGTTGGACTTGTTGAAACATCAGCTCGGAACTGGCGGAATGTTGATTCCGGCCATGAAAGATGTACATTACAAACCGACCCACGGAAAGGCGCTCCTTCAATATCACGGCTCTATGCGGGGTGTGAAACTACCAGACTAGCCAACAGCTCCTAGTCATTGGCTAGTGATGTCGTCCAGCTCATCCACTTCATTCATTACACCTAATTACGGCGACTGTCTCTCCCCTTCTTCTTCTTCTTCGTCATGTTCGCGTATGCAAGTAAATGCGTGCAATGCATGCATGCGTGCAATGCATGCATGCGTGCATACTCGCATACCTCGGTACCTGCATACCCTCGTACATACATATCAACATGCTGCTGTACCTACACCAACTTAGCTTCCTACCTACCTGCCTTCCTACATAATAGATAATACATGGGCATACATACAGGGGCAGACGCCTGTGACTAAGACCGTGTCTGATATACATTTACAACATGCAGGGAGGGCAGGGGGAGGGTGAAAGATAAAGGGAGAGGGAGAGGGAGAGGGAGAGGGGGAGGGGGAGGGGGAG